TAATCAACTTAATAAACAGCTTAAAAATTTATTTCAAATTTTAAAACAAAGATCTGTTACAGCCATGGCTACAAAGATGAATTTAGTGTAAAACTNTGAAATAAATTTCTGTATCTATGGTATCGACCGTTTATTTTGCCAAAGATACTAGATATATTTGCATTATCAGTTTAGACCCCGGATCTAAATGGTGATAGCAAGGTAATCGAAAGAGTCCACCACAGGGCAACAAAGTTAGTTATGTTTAATAGAAACCTAGCTTAAGAAAATAGTCTTAAAAAATAAGGATTAACAACTTTGGTGGAAAGAAGAAAAAGAGAAGATTTGATTCAGTTGTTTAAAATCATGCATAATTTGGACAAAGTTTATTTAAATAATTGTTTTAGCATAGTCAAAATCAAAACGCGAGGTCACTGATTGAAATATTTTAAAAAGTTAACAGAACATAGATGCAGAGAGAATTACTTATTCAATAGAGTCGCAAATACTTGGAACTCATTACCAAATGAACTTGTTGAGGCACAATCAATGAACAAATTTCAAGCAGGCATTGATTGTTGGATGAACAACAATCAATCAACAACTGTGCTAGCTTGCCTGACAGTATACTCTCTGGATAACCTCCAGAACAGCATTACTATTACTACTACAACTACTACTAAATATAATATTGTATTTATCTATTTTATATGTTTACTTTATTATATGAAATTAAATGAATTTGTTCACGTACAAATGTCCACCAGTTCACTAATACAACTGAACGGGTGCTTCCGATATATTGCAGGACACTCACATCCATTCCACGTTCACCTACACCTTTTCCACAAATTCAACCAACTCACTCCAACTCATTTACACTTTGTCTTGCTGGAAACAAAGCAAATTATCAACAAAGGATCAAATTCACTTTGGTTTCTTATTTGACGCATAGACGTTGATTATAACTTTGCGCATATTACAAAGAGGTTTCCCAATATATATAAATATGCGACTACTTCATTCTTCAAATCATATCCGTTCAACCTCCTCCCTCAAATTTTCCAATCAGTTGTTTAACAAACATCGAGCAAAATGAACGCGCATGAAGATAAAATAATTGATGCTGCGGTAAAAATCGGTTGTGACATCGTTAATATGCTATTAACGAATTGGGCGGTGGGGGATTCGTGCGATAGAAGGAACAGCTACATTAAGAGCCTCGTCAATTCATTTTTCTTTTACAAATTCTCTGAAGAAGATGTAGCAAAAATTTCGATGTTCCTATCAACGCCACACGGTAAAAATGCTGATCAGTGGATGGATCCAATAAAAAAACTGTCAGATGACGAACAATACTTCCTCGTGATCGACCTTCAAAACATCTTTTACGCGCAATTGAGCAGTTACAAACTAACAGTTGACTACCCGTTCACCGTTGAACATTTCGATGGCGTCATTTCTCACAGAGATACATTCTACCGAGACCTCCCCAACAGCCGATCTTACATTTTACCATATTTCGAAAATAAATTTATAACATCAACATGTGCAATATGTCTCGATACTTTCGTAAAAGGAGCATATGTACACAAATTGCATTGTGGTCACCCATATCATGAAAGGTGTATACAAAAATGGAAGAAACAGAGAACCACCTGTCCAACATGCCGATTTGAAATGCGGGATGAATTCAGTGCAGAAGCGTCATA